ACAGACAGACAGACAGACAGACAGACAGACAGACAGACAGACAGAAATGCATATTCCAGCAATACAGAATTATTTCTTTTCTGGAAGAGATGGTTGGTCTTTGCTTTGAAAGTTCAAGGCTAACCAGCCACCAAGTGTCTAGTCACAAGTACCATAGCCCAAAGAACGTGCCAAGGAATTGATCGTCACTCTGATCGTCACTCGACTGCCTGATTTATCCTGCGCTCCGAATTCCTTGCAGATGACTCGGTGAGCATGCCCAGTGTGGTAAGTGAACAAGAAGCATACCTTATGGGTTCCGTTGGGAGGAGGCGATTCTCCAGCCATCTCTCCAGCATGTCTGCACCTCAGGCTGAGGTGGGCATGTTACCCAGCCAAAGGTAACCACATTTTGCATCTCCTGATATACCTCCCAAGAACTGAAATGCCAAAGGTATAATGTAGTCTGTGACTCATAGGTCAGAATGGTTGCCACAAGCTCTGATTAAACGTAGACGTATGGAGGGCAGTTGAGTCTCTGTGCAGGCAATGTCACTGAGGTGTAATAACAACTCCAACGCTACCTGTTACAATGTCCTCTCTTTTTTCCAAAATGCAGATTTGACATCCCCTAAATACGTTTAGACAAAAGTTATTGTTCATGTTTTAAAAAGGTCATTTTCTACAACACGATCTGAAGATATATACCTTATGCTTAAACTCAGCAGTGAATAAAGATCTTGTCAAAGACAATACTGAAATAATACCATGTACACATGGGTATTATTGGCGAGAAGATCTGTGAAGGAAGGGCAGAGGGCTTGACTACACATTACTGTTTCTGGGTCCACCCCATTTCTGTCCTGGATCTTATCAAACCAGGCATGCACTTAATTCTCAGAGGGCTTGACTACACATTAAGATTGGGCATAAGGGGGCCTGATTCAGATTGGGACACACAGAGCAAGGGGGCTTCATCCTTCCCACCCATTCCATTTTTCCTGATTTCAGTCAGCCCCAGGGAGCCACTGTTTCTCCTGTGGCAAAAATGTATGCGTAGCTCATCGTTATACCCAAGGTTCCCCAGCTGGGCATGAATCAGCTCCTTCATGGCATTTCAGTAGGGTTACCAGCCCCCAAGTCCAGTCGGGGGTTCCCCTGCTTCTGGGGGCTTCAATCTGCCCTCACTGAGCTGGTGGGTGGGAGAAGCCCCCCCCAGCCCTCCCGAGAGCGACCAGCTGCCTGGCCATGTCTCTCCCCTCCCCTCCTGCCCAATTTAAAAGGCTTCAGCTGGTCAGCGGGGACCACATGGGCCGCCGACCAGCTGGACAGCCCTTTAAATCCAGCAGGAGGGAGGGAGGGGGAGATTACGGGTGCAGGCTCCACTTGTAAAAAGAGGGGTGGCCAGGCAGGTGGTCGCTCTCAGGGGTGGGGCTTGGGGGCATCCCCGCCCACCCCTGGAACACCCCCCAGATCCCCCCACCAGAGCAAGGAGGGGACCTAGCAACCCTACATTTCAGGTTGGAAAAACCACATGAGGCAAAGGCTCTCAACAAATCAGTCTCCATACACCTAAGAATTAAGTCTAAAGATTGCGGGAATTGCTGAATGTCAAATGCTCAGCAGAGGTCTGGTTTGACTGGACCCAGAGGAGGCACAGAAAGGATGTGACTTGTAGTTAGGCCTTGCATGACCTCTATGGTCTTGCAGTCGACTAACTGCAAATACTAGTCCTTTCTGAGCTCACTAATATTATTTACTAATATTATTGTTCTCGTGCTACATATGCACAGATCTTCAGACGCAGGTGTGTGGCACAGGACAGAGAACAAATGTGCAACTGTAAAAAATGAGATGAGATGTACCCCTAGATCTCACTGGCAACTCTAGAAAGCAAGATTGTATGAGGGCACACTGTCCCATATCTGCAGATAAGAATTCCTGAGTGTACTCTTTTTGAATGCCTTGACTCTCAGAGTTTAATTTTTATAATAACTTAGCAAGCATATGAAGATATCTAGGCATCGATCTGTAAAATTAATTCCCCTCGCTGACCCAATCTTGTTTTCTTAGGGGTGGGTTCAACTAACTGATTGGCTGTCCCGCCGTGCCTTTGCATAGTGATAAGCACGCCCAATGATTGAGGCGGTCTTTTCTGAACTTCTTGTGCATAGTGAAAAAACAAGGCAGGTGAGAAGGAAACACCATACAGTCAGGTTATTCCACTATACCAGGAATCTTCACATGAGAAACATGCTGGTTTGAAGTCCATTTTCACTGTGTGCCAGTCAGTCACCGTGTGTGATTTAGCACTTAAAAATTGCCTCTGGTTATAACCATGAAAACCCTGACCTGGATCGTGCAGGTTAGGTCATCAGATCTCAGAAGCTAAGCATGGTCAACCCTGGTTAGTACTTGGATGGGAGACCACTAAGGAAGTCCAGGGTTGCTATACCGAGGCATGCAACAGCCAACCACCTCTGCTGATCTGTTGCCTTGAAAACCCTACAGAGTTGCCATAAGCCAGCTGAGATGGCACTTGACATACACATAACCATGAAAAAGAAAAGCTGTGAAATACCAGTGGGGCTCCATGCTTCTCTTTCTAAAATACATCACCTTTGACTTCCCTTGCGAACATTTTACATGTTCAGGGTTTTTATTATAAACTGTACCAGCCAGCTGTGAAGGAGTTTGACAGCTATGGCTTAAAAAACACTTCATAAATCTGTAAGCCCTTTTTCATGGGTAACTTAACTAGCAAAAACTTTTGATTGATTCGTTGGCGAGGAACAATTTAACTTGCTGGGGCTGAGCGCTAACGAGGAGACCGCTTGCTTATTTTGTGAGGCTTTTATAGTTTTGATATATTACTGTAACGGAGAATGAGAAAGAAAGAAACATGAAATATGGTGTTTCCTTCTAAGGAAAGGTAGTGTTGATTTATGAAAATTACACAGGTAGTTTACAATATCTTCAGTTTCTCAAAAGGGCAAGCGTATTGATATTTTAGTAATGCACAAAACATTTAACTCATTTCATTAAATGATAACTTGATCAAATAAATTTCTTTCGTTCCAAACACGGGCTATGTCGGAATGATGACCTGTCGGGGAAATTTTCACTTTGCACGTAGGTAAAATTAGAGCCAGCCAGATGTGCATATATAACTTGACTAGCAATGTGACTGTGTGGGTATTGTTATTCTTCTGTTCAAAACAAATACATGTATAGCAATGCGGTGTTTTTACTGATGTGTTCATAGTCCACCACTCCACATCCCTCCTTTCATTTTACACATAGGTGTTGGTCAGAAAGGGACCCTAATTGGTTGGTAGACAATAGTTTTGGGATAGCGGCCATGGGTTTCAGACACACAGGTCCAGATGTTTATATTCAGTTTTGTTACCATATGGCGTCCCATCCTCCACCCCTGTAAAGAGGGGCAAGGTTAGAGAGAGGGAGAGAATCTTGAGACACGCCAACCAATGCTCCCTCTAAGCTGTGGAGTCTTGTGAGCAAAAATTCTACTTTGTGAGCTACTGGCATTAAAGTTGTGAACGAGCAATTTGGCTGCTGCACGGACTAGTTTGCTCTGGAGCCCTCCCTTCCTGAGCTAAGACAAAAATGTGTGAGCCGGAGGCTAAAAAACTGTGAGCTAGCTCTAACTCAGCTTAGAGGGAACACTGACGCCAATTCTTCTCCCTCCCTCCAAGCGATGGCAGATAGCACTCGTTCTAAAGTAGAGGCAAGATGGCCCTGGCATGATACCACCAGGGTGGGTAGATGGTCAGGTGGGCATAAAATTACCAGGAAAGAGAGGATCCTGCCACTGGGACATTTTTGTTTGGATAACAGGAAGGTCTGTCAGTCCTTTACTGCTCCGTGCTGGACTCAGTCAGAGGGCTGCCTCATTGCTTCACTCTGATCAGAGAAGGGAGCTCAGGAACATCTGCCACTAATGAGACTCTAATATTGTTTCCTTGTCAGTGGTTCCAGGAGAGTATCCAATCCCTCGTCTTAATTCCCATGCTAAGTTAGTTTCCATAGCAGGCAACTCTGCATAGAGTTCTCTGAGCAATTACTTACACATGAAGCTGCCTTATCCTGAAAGACCCCCCTGGTGGAGGTGGGGGTCCCCTGCTTCCAGGCCTCACCATTCAGCTGGCCCGCAGGGGCAACTTAACCCCCCCCCCCAAAAAAGAGGGAGGCCGACATTTTAGCTGCATCCTTGTGACTTCGATGTGACGCAGAAGTGACATAGACATGTTGGAACTCTATGGTAGAAACTCTATGGTAGAATTGATCCCTCAATTCGGAGTGGGGCAGGGTGACTTTAGCCCCTTACCCATTGCCCCCTTCCTGATCCCCCAAGTTCCTATTTGTACTGCTGGAGAAAACATTAAGGTATCCTATTTCCCTTTTTTTCAAAAAAACAGTGTTTGCCCCACCCCCACCAGCAAATTTTTTAAAAAGAACTCGAAGATCCTGATCGGGGCCTCGTATGTCACAGTCAGCAGAGTAGGGCTGCTGGCCCCAGATCCGGGCAAGGGTTCCCCTGCTTTGGGGGGCTTCAATCTGCCCCTGGCCAGCTAGCTGCTGGGGGAAGCTCCGCCTCCAAGAGCGACCACCTGCCCGGCCAACCCTCTCCCTCCCCTCCTGCCCTATTTAAAGGGCTTCAGCTGATTGGTGAGGACCACGTGGCCCACCAATCAGCTGAAGGGCCCTTTAAATATAGCCGGAGGGAGGGAGAGAGGTGGTTGCAGGTTGCACACCTGGGTCTCAGAAAGACCCTTTAAAGTGTCTTTTTGCGAGTGGGGTGGGGGCTGTGGCACATGGGGTTGATTTCCCCCAGCCCCGCGGCCCCCAACCCATTCACAAAAAGACCCTTTAAAGGGTCTTTTTGTGAGCTGAGTGTGCGGCCCGTGACCGCCCCTCTCCCTCCTTCCTGCTAGGTTTAAAGGGTCCTCCAGCTGATTGACGGGCCATGTGGTCCCCGCCGATCAGCTGAAGCCGTTTAAATTGGGCAGAAGGGAAGGGAGAGGGGTGGCCGGATGCGTGGTCACTCTTGGGGGCAGGGCTTGTGGGCATCCCCACCCACCCCAGAATGCCCCCCAAATCCCCCTCCGGATCAATGAGGGCACCTGACAACCCTACAGCTGAGCACCAATGGGGCGGGGGTCCAAAACATTAGAGAAGCTGAGGTGTTCAGGTTATGCCTATCAAAGGGTATGCTGACCAAAACCGTGAAGCTGATAGGTTCCCACTCAGACGTTTGGCTTTTATCCTTTGGTTCGAATGCCATTGAAGTGTTTTATGAAGCTGGAGGTTTCCCCGCCTCCTAACTTCCGTCTATAGGAAGCACTTTTGACGATCAACAAGAAGGCATCTTTCCCGGCTTTGGCTCTCGAGCGAGGCCGTCCCAAGACCGAGCGTTTTACTGTCCTCCTTTCCTTTTATTATCCGTCTGATACTTCTTCTTCTTTTTTCCTGAACACAGAGACAATTGCATGCTTCTTGTTTTATATTTTCTTCCCTAAATGCTCGCCCTCCCTGCCCCTCCTGCAGTGAACCCAATGTCCTCGAGGACTCCCAGGGCCTGGCCGCTGTGGGCAGCCTTACTAGGTACAGTCGTCACCCTACCTGTATGTCTCGGTGTCTGTGCTGGGGGACAGTCTGCTTCCCCTCTTCACCGTCTTTCCCTCATCCTTGACTCACTCTCTCTTTCCCACCATGCCTTTTTCTCGTCTTTCATCGATGACCAGGCCTGCAAGTCAAAGGTGCAGCCGTCCCGCTGCCGTTGAGAGCTCTTCCCCTTGATTGGCTAAAAGCTTTTGCGGAAGTAAAAAAAAAAAGTGCCAAAGCAAACCAGCTCGAGGGCATATTGTGAGATTTCCCCCTTTTGTTGAAGGGCTGTAAGATCCGGGATTAATTCCCCCCCCCCCAACACTTCCGTCACACATTATTAAATTGATGTCTTAGGTACCCGATTAGACCCTTTTGTTTAAAACAACAACGACACCAATTACTCTTTATTCACAGTATGATCTCATAACGGCAAGATGTTTTTATAAGGGTTCGTTTTTTCTCAACAATATCAGAACTGCCCCTCCTGGTAAGAACAGCCCTAGCCCTCGTCACCTCTTTATTATCTAAGTGTGTTGTCGGTTTTCATGCTGTACCCGATTAGACCCTTTTGTTTAAAACGACAACAGCACCAATTACTCTTTATTCACAGTATGATCTCATAACGGCAAGATGTTTTTGTAAGGGTTCGTTTTATGTCCTAGATTCTCAATAATATCAGAACTGCCCCTCCTTGTAAGAACGGCCCTAGCCCTCGTCGCCTCTTTATTATCTAAGTGGGTTGTCGGTTCTCATGCTTTCTTCTTTTCAAGAAACAAACAATTGTTTCAATTTGTGTGGTGTCAGATCTCGACACAAATTTGTCCCGGAACTTTGCTTGGTGACCAGGGGAGCTTGGGCACGAATGTTTTTATAAGGGTTCGTTTTTTCTCAACAATATCAGAACTGCCCCTCCTGGTAAGAACAGCCCTAGCCCTCGTCACCTCTTTATTATCTAAGTGTGTTGTCGGTTTTCATGCTGTCTTCTTTTCAAGAAACAAACAATTGTTTCCATTTGCGTGGTGTCGGATCTCGGCACAAATTTGTCCCGGAACTTTGCTTGGTGACCAGGGGAGCTTGGGCACGAGAGGTCACTGTGCTTTGAAAGCACTTTCATTTTCCTGTTCCAAAGGGGAACTGCACCTTTAACATTCAGCTCAGTCATTTGAATCATCCTTACTGTTCTGTTGTGTTGATGCCTCTCAACGGGTCCTCAGTAGTTGGAAAGGTGCATGATGCCACCCCCCACCCCCGAGTCCTTGCTTTAATCCTGGGGAAACACCCCCCGAAGACCTTGGTGTAAACTGTGCTGTGGCCTCCTTTAGTGCTCTTATCAAAAGACGGGGAAACGTTGAGAGGGATTCCCCCTCTTAGATGACTTCCTCATTCTGTTCAGTTGTAGATTTTTTTTAGAACAGGAAATTATGTCTGTCCTTGGATGTGCCGTCTCGATCATCTTCATACTTCATGGAGTTCTCTGTATTTGCATTCCTAGACTTTCCTAAACCTCTTTAACGAGAGCAGAGTCCTTTTTTTTAAACCTCAAACAAAATGTATTTACGTGTTTGAACAAAGAAGAGATGAGGAAAATTTTCATCTGAGAAATTACCAGACATTCGTAATATGTGTATATTATGTATATATGCGAGGAAATGTTTTAGAACAGCATATTCGTTTTGAAAGGCGTCTTGTTAAGTGGAGCTTCTGCCTGACATGTTGAAGAGTTACCCATGGAGTTATGCATAGCCTCAGTCCCTGACATTTTTTGGTTGGCTCCGCCTCCCGTGTCAGCCATTTTGTGCTTTCTAGAGGTGCCCATAGGTCCAAAAAGGTGGGGATCCCTGCTCTTTTTGTACCTCTTGTGGTACAAAAGATGAGATATGCTCTATAGTATGTACTACAGTACATACACTTCCAACCTCATCTAGGGTTCCCAGCCCCCAGGTCCCAGTGGGGGTTCCCCCTCTTTTAAAGGCTTTGATTCGCTGCTGGCCAGCAGGAGAAACCTCATCCCCAAAGAGGGATGTCATTGGACAACATCCCCGACACGATGACAGCACCCGGAAGTGATGTCATCACGTTGCTGACATCAGAGAGTGATGCTCTAGTTTCTGGGCAGACCCTGCGGTTTTGAAGGCAAGAAACCACAGAGTTTTGCCCCAAAACAAGAGGGTCACTCCCCATGATGATGTCACTTCTAGGTGACATCATCACTCATGGAAGAAGATCTGGAAAGGACCAGGAGCCTGGCCCGTAGCTAACATGGGGCCCATGGGGCCCGGCCCCCTAGTGTTTCTTCTGGGGCCCCTCCCTCCTGGGCTGCCCCCAAAGTGCTCCAATTTACCACCTGCACTGTACTTTCATTTAATTAGCTGGCAGGCCCCCAAGGCCCCCTCCCAAATAATTCCCTAGCTACGGGGCTGCCAGGAGCTCCCCGCTGGCTACCAGGTAGGACCCGGCAACCCTATCTGTATCCCTATATAAATTGTGTCAGACGAGGGGGTTGCCTTTGGTCTTTTGAGCTCTGAGGACAGAAGCAGGCAGGCTGTGGGCCTTGCTACTTTCCAAGAAGGCCACAAGTAGGACTGACAAATCTTCTGAGGTTCAGACCCTAAGAATGGGGTGGGGCTCAGTGGGACAGGGGTCGGTCCTGGTGTTGCCCAAGAATGGAGTGGGACAGGGGTCGGTCCTGGTGTTGCCAGGGAGTAAAACCCAGTGGGATGGAAGAATAGTCTGGTTGTACTGATTTCAGGTGTCAAATGGACAAGCTGAGATAATCTCAAGAACAACCAACCCCACAGGAATATAACTGTCTCCCTTGGTCCTGGCCCCTCACAGAGTCCTTTCCCCAGAGCCCTTGCGAAGGTGACTAAAACTCTGAATCTTTCAGGTCTGGACCCGAGGCCTAGCTATTCTAGTAATGGCTTCCTGCTCCTGATAGCACTTAGGCTAAAACCCTTTATAAAATCTAGAGGTAAGTAGGCAAAGAGCACATCGTTTGCTATATGCCTTGGATAGAAAATTGAAGCGGCACAATATTATCCTTGACTCATCAAGGAAAAGGCCAACATCGTTATGGCAACGTTTTAGTGAGGCCGTGCTAATCGACATGCAAAAGGAGAAGTAATAGAAAGGATGCCGTGACAACCTTTTCTTCTATAGAAATTGGTGCCATGGGGATAATTGCTGTTGCAGAGTAGAAAACATTAAAACGAGTTTTGAACAGAATGAGCAGACAGTTTGTCCTCAGAACCTTTTATCTTGTGTACCACAAACATCCACGAAGGCTTAGTGCTGCCTGATGAATTGATCAGTCAGTCTCTCGTGACTAATTACGAAACCAGAAGTAGGCTGTAAACAGTGTACAGGTTAGTCACATCTAATAAGTGAAAAGAAACAGTTGGCATGACAATTGTAAGAGGGACGAGGTACAAGGGAAAAAAGAAGAGAGAGCAGAAAGATTGATATTACGGTCTGTTGCAGATGGCTTTTGCATGGTCCTTTAAACAAACAGGAAACTGTGGAAGAGATTCCAAAATGGCAAGCAAAAATAATGCAAGTTGTACAGTAACTTAAAGTAATTCTTTGAGTCCAGTGGCACCTTTAAGGCCAACAAAGTTTAATTCTAAGCTATCGTCTGCAGGCACACATCTTCAGATACATTGAAACAGAGGGTCTGGTCACACGCAGAATTAGCTGCATGATGGGGGCGAATGCCGGGCGGATTTTACGGGCGCGATCACAGGGGAACATCTGGCAAGCGTCCTGCACCCGCTGCCAACCCTTCTTCCCACCGAAGAAGCGCAGTTAAAAACTACCAGCAAAAGTCCACTATCAAAGGGGTTTGCGATGGCCCGCAGACGAAGGTTCCCACGTGATCGCTCCAGGGTGCTCCTATCGCGTCTGTGCTCCCTCACTGAAGCGCGGGGAAAACCCGGTTCACTGCCGTTGCGTCTGATCGCGTAGTGGCGGGTCAAATTGTGACGGCGCAAATAACCTTGCATCCCCTCTGCGTCAGAGGTCATTTCAGGGGGATCGCGGGGGATCGCATTTCCCCCGGGTGAGGTACGGGGGGCGGGGCACATGATGAAGCCCCGCCCCCTGCTTCCGGCC